CACCTCCAAGTTCAAGAGCCGTCCATCCCAGTGAGCAGGAAGTCAGGCAAAAATACCAGGAGGCCTGCATGGATGAACACAGAGCTCCTGGCAAAACTCAAACACAAAAAGGAAGCATACAGTGGGTAGAAGCAGGGAGAGGTAACCTGGGAGGAATACAGAGACATTGTCCAATCATCTAGGAATGAGATTAGGAAAGCTAAAGCCCAGCAGGAATTGAACCTGGCAAGGGATGTCAAAGGTAACCAAAAGGGATTCTAGAAGTACATAGGTGACAAAAGGAAGACTTGGGAAGATGTGTTCCTGCTGCTGAATGGGGCAGGGGACCTGGTGACACAGAACATGAAAAAAGGTGAGGTACTGATTGCCTTCTTTGCCTTAGTCTTTACTAGCATGACTGGCCTTCAGGAATCCCAGGTCTCAGACACCAGGAGGAAAGGCTGGAGCAAGGAAGATGTACCCTTGGTGGAAGAGGGTCAGATCAGGGAATTTGAAGCAAACTGAACATATACAAGTCCATGGGCCCTAATGGTATGCACCTAGAAGTGGTGAGAGAGCTGGCTGGTGGATGGGATGCCATCCAGAGGCACCTAGACAAGCTCTAGAAGTGGGCCCATGTGAACCTCATGAGGTTCAACAAGGCCAGATGCAAAGTCCTGCACCTGGGTTGGGGCAACCACCAGTAACAATACAGGCTGGGGGATGAATGTATTGAGAGCAGCCCTGCAGAGAAGGACTTGGGGGTACAGGTGGATGAAGAGCTGGACATGAGCCAGCAATGTGTGCTCGCAGACCAGAAGGCCAACCATATCCTGGGCTGCATCAAAAGAAGTGTGGCCAGCAGGTCAAGGGAAGTGATTCTGCCCCTGTACTCAGCACTGGTGAGGCTGCACCCAGAGTATTGTGTCCAGGGCTGGGCTCCCCAGTACAAGATCAGTAAAAATTTTAGAATTAAAGTGAATAGAGAAAGCAAAGTCACCTGTTTAACATTTTAGCAAGTGAATTTCATTTTCTTTGACTCAGTTTTATGTTTCTTTGCTAAATTAATGAGCAAATACTTGCAAATGCGTTCTTTGCCTTCTGTCAAGCTACTGTTACTCAAGAAGGCAGAAGCTGCCCCATGAATCACACCTTTTCCTTTTTTTTTTCTTTCATAGAATCTATTTGGTAGAAGTCAATACTTTTAGATAGTATCTGTAGTCTGGTTTGTATCCAGTGTTCCACAGGAACACTGTCATAACAGTTTTCTGACTAGTGTGTATTGACATCTGGACAATGCTTGTGAAAGTGTTATTATAGTCCCATTGTGAATACAATCCTTGCAGTAATCTATCCAGAGATGTTTTGATCTGTTTGTGTGCACTGTTGGACAGAAATTTCCTGGAGGCTGTAATCCCTTTTGATCAGATACTAAATTTGATTTATTATTCATATAAAATTTGACTAATTGATTTAGTGTGAATGAAATTCTAAAATCCAGTTATTAGCTGTTGGGCACTGGAATAACATTTTAGTTAGGACATTTTAACACATTAAGTTCTAGATCTCAAAATAGTATTATAGCATCTTTAAAATCTGGTATCACATTTGACTCTTCAATATTGGGTATATTAGGTGAGATTTCACATCTCTAGCTTAATTTTTGACACCAATTTTTGAAGTTGTGATGATATTTTCAATATGACTTATGCCGCTCTTACGTTATTTTTCTGTACTGTTTCTAATCTCTCCTATTCCATTAAGCATATGATTTCCAGGTCAGCGTGAAGTAGAACGTCTGGTGCCTCTCTGTACTTGGCTTTAAGATACCACCACTTAACTTTCATGTGCTAAATGTTTGAGTTGAATGCAGACAAGTATACTGCCTTTTAAGACACTAAACTATTCAAATGCTAAGAAGTTGTTTATTATTTTTAAGTTGATATAATAGAGAATAATGTAATGCTTCTAAAGACTTCAACCAGTATGCAGTCAAAAGCAAATGTATTTGGAAGCAGAATACAGTTTTGATCATGTACCAGGTAGGTCCTTAGGGTTCTCAGTTTTCCTCCCTACTTGATTTATACTCTTTGGCATGCTGATCAGATATATTTTTCAGAAGTGATGTCAGTGACACTGTAAAAAATGGGTGGAAGAAAGGTAGCAGAGTTGTAAACCCTATAAAATCTTTTCCTTTTGTTTACTTGTCTACTATACCTGTCACCTTAAGCAGAAATTTAAAATTCCATGGAGTGGGTAGTTACAGAGGTAAAATAGTGTTGCTATTTCATTTGCTTTGTCTGAATTTCAGTGCCTCAGTTGTTCTGCTTGATCAATAATAAATCAATAGGCAGTTAATAATGGAATATATTTATGCCTTTCTGTGTTTTTTCCTCTCTGCAAGGGCCAAAATATTGCCTTAATCTGTTTTGCTGGCAGAAAACTGAAGGTTGACTGTGCTTGTACTGTACCACTTAGTGTATCTGCCGTAAGGTGGTTTAGACTTTGAAAACATGCGCCAAATTCCTGATTTTTGTGTCACTTCTGGTATATCCCACGCCCGGCTATGATGACAATAACGGCAGATCCTGGGGCTTTGTTGGGCCATTCCTGTGGCTGCCCCTCTCCATCGCAGAAGCAGCTACAGGCTCGCTGTGTTGCATCTGTCCGTCTCAGACAAATGAAGAGCTCAAGTCCTTGCGTGGGTAGGAGGTCTGCTGCCTTCTTCCCCTGTTCCTTCCTTGCCTTCCACAGGAATACAGCGACAGCTCTGGGCTTTGAGCCAGCCGGACACAGGAGGAGGTGTTTGGCTGTTCGGGCAGCGTTTGCTCCTCAAACAGCTGTTCCCTATCTCCTCCAAGGAAAAGGTGGCAGGCCATATGGAGGCATCCTGTGGTCCAGATTCAGCTGATGGGCGCCAGTTGGACCGTGCTGGCCTAGATCGAAATACAGGCATGTCCTACTTGGTGTCTGCTATTTCTTACAGTCAAAATGTTTTAAAGTTGGAGGACAGACAGGATAAAACATATCTTTGATTTTGGATATAGATGTTATCTTTCTTTGGACATTCATTGTTAAGATCTTCTAATCAGTAGGTTTTAATTTATTTTATATTCTGAATGGTTTGGATTCTGTTGTACTAGCCTAAACACCCTCTTTCCTCTAAAGGGGCAGAGATGTACTTCAAAGCATATATGCCAGTGCTAAACAAAATTTGTTTCTGCACAGTTTAAGCTACATTTGGGAGGAATAATACGTTCTCTTGATAGTATTATGGGATTTAAGGCATTTTTTTGGAAGATGGGGTTCTCAACCACTCTTCTGGTTGAGAATGCAGATAAGCATCTGTTTTTACAGCCAACAGAGTGGAGAGGGGATTTTTGTTTGCTTTTCTGTTAGTTGCTTTTATTTTTATTTTTTAACATGAGTTGTACTTTCTGGGGTAGTTAAGTTTATCCCCAGAGATGTTGTCTGTGTCTTTTGTGGAAATGAGTGCCTCAGCAGACACCAGGAGATCATCATGCACTTAGAAGTATACTTTCTCATATAAAGTTTGTACTTATTGTTCAGATTTAATATTTTTCCTGATATAATAGCAGTTACAAATGTTCCATAAATTTAAAATATGATAACAAGCTGATGTTTCTTAGAATGGAATACTCAAAGGATGTATTCTTTAAGCACTGCAAAATTATACAGGGGACTTATCTTTGTTAAAATTAGTAATTTAACTAAATTACAAAGTGGATTATCCTCTTCAGTCAGACCCAATGCTAATACTCCACACAGTAGGAGATTGATAAGTTGCTAAGTAAACCAAAGTTTATTTTCTTGTGCTATGGATTGAATGCGATTTGAAGAGGAAGTGTTAAGTTTTTAGTTTTGGATGTTTGTGCACTATAGTCCTAGTACATCTGGTTCCAGGACGTACCATGCCCTGTGTGCCATGACAGTTGTGCAGTGCAGTACCTTAGTTCTAAGATGATTGTGTTCCAAGCTTCTACTCAAGTGGCTCCTGGCATGATTTATCTGTAAACTTGAGTAGTCAGTTCACAGGTAACAAAACTGTGGCCATACTGCCTAATATTAATGCTTGTTAGAAAACTCTCTGGATGTGGAGTGGTTGTGAATAGGAAATACTGTCCCTGTCCTTTTAAAGCAGTTCACTTCAGGCTTTCCATCACAACATTTTATTTGTGGCTTGTGATTCACTGAATTGCAAGTAGAGTTGTGTGATGAATTTGTGTGTGTACAGTGCACAGGTGTTGCACTAAAAAAAATAAACAAGGTAAGCCTTGTACCTAAGGAGGAGCCTAAAGAGTAAATGATATGTCATGGTATGCAGGCATAGACCTTTGCAAGGAAACTATTTACCGTGGCTATCTTACTGTACCTGCGTGAATGAAGTACTGCAGACAAAACCTATCAATCTAAGGCTCAACGTGAACACTAAGCTTCTATTTTGTGAGATTTACCACGGGAGATAATGGACCTCGTGTGTCTTTCTGTTCCATTAATGGGGATGGGAGGGACTGGGGAGGCTGTCTCATTGCAAAACATGTCCAGTCTCAGGCCAGCTTCATCCCTTCAGCCCTTAGATGGGCTGCATTCCACTCTAAGTCATTTTGTAAAAGGACAGGAAAAGGTGTATATATAAAAGGAAAACCTGGTCACTCATTTAACTGTCGTACCTGAGTGCTGCCTTCTCTGGGAAAGATTAGTATTTTTAGAATTCTGTATGTTAAGAAATATTCTGTAAATGCAGTGATCAAGAAGTGGATATTAAAAAGTCCGTCACTGTCTTGCCTCTATTTAATAAAGGAGATGCCGCAGATCTATAGGCAGACTGCTGCAGTCAGTTCAAAATTATTTCTGTGTACTCCATCAGCCAAGTGGTAATGTCCGCTTTGCATGTGAACTGAGTTGTCAGTCCTTCAGACCCTTGAGTGAGTTGTTGATGTCATGGTTTGAGTTGTCTGTTATGCTACTTCTGTCTCATTAACTAAGAACAATTTTTGCAGGTAGAAGGTACAGAAAAAGGGACTGTGCAGTTAAATACCATTGCACCAGAAGGAGTCATTCCATGCTGCTTCCGCTACATGAATCCCCTAATAGTCTGGAACAGTGCTTTCTTGTGTATATTGGCAGAAAGTAAATAAAAACTGCTGACATAAAGAATAAGCAAGTATGTTATTTAGATTTAATAAGTTTCAATCCTGTGGTACCTTTTTAATTTTAGGATTTGTTCTATTAGGTTTTGCAAAGTAGGATGATCTTTCTTCCATTACAAAAGTCATATAATGACACAGGTTTGTGGATGTAATTCCCAGTGCTTTGTGAATTGGACTGTTTGAAAATTCCAAAGCATGCCTCTGTAGTTATAAACTGTTATTACAAAGTAAAATAATCTTTGGCTTTGTCTCCTGTCCTGTACAGTGAACTGGCTTTCCCTCGTTAGGTTAGGCAGAATATGTCCAATAGAAAAAGTGAATTCTTGTTTCCCTGTAGATCACTAGGATCCTCCATTCTGAATACTTTATTTTACTTAGCTTTAGGGCAGTTAAAGCCTCAGCAGTTCCACAGAGAGGAGTTTCTCTTCAAGGCTCCTGCTTCAAAGGATTTCCAGAGCTGGGAAAGGGACAGTAACCAGCAAATGCTGACAGATCTTCCTGCTTCTGGCCCTGAAAGTGTGTGTGTGTGGTGTGTGTTTGTGTTTTGTACACCTACACATTGGCCTGAAACCATCAAGTAGCATCCAGCAAGGCTCATAATGAAATCTCCCCATGTTAATGAGTACATTGGAAAGAGGGGAGAATCCGCAAAGAAGAGGAGGAAAAAATTGTTTGGTCAAAAGGAACAAACCCTTGGGCTTTATGTTCAAAGGAATGAAAGTTAACAAGGTGGAAGCTTAAACTGGTTTTGGCTTTAACTGTTTCAAGCAGCCTTAGTGTTTTGGGGGCTGAGAGTGGGGGTGGAATGACAGCCGCGGTATAATCTCAACACTTGGCATGATGCTTTCCTGAGATAGAAATTGAGTTGTCTCTACTTCAACGGTACACAAGAGGTTTTTGAGAATATTGAAATCTTATTAAGTAGTATTGATGCAGTGATTGCCCACAACTTTGCCTTGGACTTATGAGTACTTGAAATATTCTTCAACCATCTTTGTGTCTACAAACCCAGAAAACCAACAAAAACATGGATTTTTTTATTTTGTTTTGTTATGTATTGCAGTGGAATAGTAGATGACTCTGATGGTCACCTTATCTCAGCTGAGAGGTGGTGTCTTTTCAAAAAAACCCACTAACTTTGATCACATCCAGTGATTCCATTAATTTTTTTCTTACTTGGAGTATACAAGGACTAACAGTACAAAGGAATATACTGGCCAATATGGCTTCACACCAAAATACATCAATTCTGTTCAAGACATCTAGTAGCACAGATATGAACACAAATTTAACGCTATGTAAACTTGTCTGAGTACAAGTTAAAATTAGAGTACATTTTGTTGCATGTTACAGTAACAGGATTTGTATTTGTATTGCTTGGAAAATAAGCAAATATTATGCTAATTTTAATGGAAATTTCTCGCCACAATTAGGAGGTCTGATAAATGAGTTTTGGCATTTTGTGACTGAGCGGGGTAAGGGGTTACTGCCTCCAATAGTCTGGCCGCTCTTTTACAGGAGGTTAATGCTCTTGCAGGCTGGATGGCAGAAGTGAAGGTTGGGATGGCTTCTCAGCTAGAAAGGCACCCACCCTTTCTACACTGAAGCCTTTGTGCTGTCCAAATAAAAACAAGCCTTCTCAAAAGTGGAGGAGTCCCTCTAGCATCTAGTTTATAAGACTTGAGAATCGTTATCTTGTGATGTCCATCCAAAAATACAATGGAGAAATTATTAGTGCAAAGGTCCCTATGGGCCATCAGGAGTTGTGCTTGTAAAACATAAAATGTGAGACATGGAACCCCTGGATATTACTGCTTCCCAAAAAGAGGAAAATGTCTGAAATGGTCTTTTTCTTTTTTTTCCCTACCCCCCCCCCCCCCC